CCATATGGGCTCATATAAAATTTGAATAAATAAATAATCTTGTTAAAAATTCAAATACTGAAGATTTAAGTACATACTCTCAAGCAACATACTGATGCTCCTTTAAAAACTGAATATATACTGGCAATCTTTCCATGACAGCATTAAAGCCTGACATTAATTTTAACAACTGCATAGCATACCATAAAAGGAATGCATCACAGTTTATTCCTTTACCACGAGTAATTTGTTTCCAAATGTTTGCCATTAAAAGATGTTGTTCTTTGTTATCTGTACATACGTTTGAATGTTTTCATAAATAAAACTGTTGAAGGCAGAATGGGTCAAAGAAATTGAAATTTTGATAGATACTTGAAAACTGCCTTCCATTTATATTCCCACCAACAATGGGACCTATTTCTCCATATCTTCACCAAAACTGAGCATTAATTGAAATATTTTTCCAATATGATAAGCCATACCCTTATTTAAGTTACTACTTTTTTAATATAGGTCAAAGACCAGCTCATTGGTTCATTTAATATAACATACCTATGAAGTAGGTATCTTCCTTTATAAAATGAGAAAACTGAAGCTCACCATTACACAGCTAATAACTAGCACGGATTTTAACCTTAGATGCAAAAGCACATGCTATTACCACTACGCTTCTCAACTCCCCTAAATTAAGCTGATGAAGAAGTGTGTGTGGCTTAAATTCCAAATGTCCCTGTAAAAATGTATAAACCATAATAGCATAGAGTCTTAACCCTCATTATGCACCAGAAACTCCTAAGGAGCTTTTACAAAATAAAATGATGACACCTCCAGATAATGTGTTGGTTCTTAGTGTTTTCACTGCAATCACCTTGGTGTAAGCCATCAATGCCTTGATCTTGCATTACTGCGATTCTCTGCCAAGTAGTCTGCTTCTACCCTACCTGCCATACTGTCGAGTCTCCATAGAACAACCTAAACATTCTTGATAAAAACTAAGTCAGATTACACTACTCCTTTGCTCAAAATCTTCCAGTGTCTCCCCATCTCACACAAAATAAAAGCCAAAGTCTTTCCAACGGTCTTTTAATGACCTATATAACAAAGTCCTACATATCTGACCCCTCATTACCTGTGACCTTATTTATCCTTCCTTGACTATGGTAATTCTCAATTTTACTGACTGATCCCTACCTCATGCAATACTCTTCCTCCCCCAAAAAAGTTCTAAGTGGGTCAAGGACTGAAATGTGAAAGACAAATATAAAAGCAACTGAGTAAATAGTGGTGCCATTTACTCAGATAAACGGACATTAGAGGAGAAGCAGGTGTTGAGGATGGAGGGAAATGATGAGCTGGAAAATACTGGCAGGATTCAAGGGAGAGGCTTAAAAAAGGGAAATTAGATAATGCTCACTGAAATCTGATTTGAACAGAAATTAGGTAAATAACCTGTACAAACAGTATCAGCTGGGTCCTCTGGGAAGCAGATGTTGAGACAGTTAGGAGAACAAGAGGTTTACTGTGAGAGATAAAAGGAGGAAGAAACAGGACTGGGCATGGAAAACTTTCAGACCACAATACAGATCTGAAGTCTGTGAAGGAAAGGAAATACAAAGCAGGACTGAGCAGAGAAAGCCTCAGACCTCGATGTAGATCTGACAGCTTGGCCAACAAATCAGGGAGTTCCAGAGCAAAGATGCCCATTAGAGGAGGCCCACACTGGGCCAAAGTGGAAATACCCTAGAACTCACACCATGCTCAGTCACTGGCTGGAGGTTTCTCAGGAAATGCAAAGCCTCAGCTCAAAAGCACTCCCTGAAGCAGAAGTTTTTTCTCAAAGTGAGATCTAAGCAGTGTGTATATATATTGTTGCCATAGGATATGAATAAGCCAGAGACTGAGTTTAATTGGTAATGAAAGTGGAGAGTGGACTCCATAGAGTTATGAGCTTCCCAGCTATTCACCAACACAACCTAAGAGGAGCCACCACTGCTTGCATCAAGCCCCAAATTTATCACCATCTCCATAAAATGAATAGTGAGACTGAGATCCAGCAGCCACTCTTTTTCCACCTCACCACCCTTAGTAGCTTCACAACAGTAATACCCACTAGTGGGGACAAGAACATTATTACAACAAAGGTTTTGGGGAAAGTGAAGTGGTTTAATATAAGACATTGATATGATTTCATCAATAGGAAACGACACAAGGAAGATTTATTTGAACACCAGACTACCATAAACAATAACTTCTAGCAAGAAATGGAGAGGCTGTGGTTGATGTTGTTGAAGAAGGGTATAAAAAAAGGTCCCCATGCAACTCCTAACAGAAATACCACAATAATTAGAATGGGGAAAAGCACGTTCATGTTCCAAAAGGTAAGATCAACACCACCATTTCTACTGTCAGGCATCTACCACAATATTCTAACGTTCCTAAGGAGGGATAAGTGACTTAGTATACTGATAACTACACATGTGAGAAGAGACTCATATCAGTGGGACTAAATCTGTATTAGGACTATAGGTCATGATTTCACATAGACTTTAATCTCTAAAGGCTTGGAAAGATCAGCAAAGAAGATAAAGAAATCAAGGAGGTAACACCTGGTATCAGCAGTCTTCTTAACACTGGTACCTCTACAACTTCCATTACCAATGCAGACACCCAGAAAGCCTTAAACCACAAGTTAGCAGAGTCAAAATCACATGATCTATCAGCTGATCAGTTTTAGTGAAGACTAAACGCTACAGGTTTAGTAGGGCAGGACTGAGAAAATGTTAGCTTCTCTTTATCAGAGTCCAGTTTACTCATCCAACAAGAAATAAATGTGAAATTCCAGCAAAAAAATGAATAAAGGCTGGAAGTGAATGAACGAATGAAGTCTTAAGTGTTTGCTTTTTGCCAGTGGATCAGGTAACTAGAAATATCTGCAGTACTTATTTAGCATGTTTTTTTTAAACTATTTTTACCAAAAGATGTTTCTAAAAAATAATCTCTAAGACTCAATTTTCCTAATATGCCTTCAAAACTTTTTATTTGTTTTACACATGGTTCAGTTGAGATACAAATACCTCATTTTAAATTGTAAAAATTTATAATTTGATTATTTTCAGAAGTCAAATAGCAGTCACCTATTAACAAAGGAGTTACATAATAGAATAAAAAGGGAAAGATATATGAGATTTTTCAAAGGTAAAAAAATCATGATTGATAAACACCACAGAGGTATATAATAAGAAAATTCTGAGCCTGGATGACTGAGAAAACAA